CTCAGGAGAAAAAGAATGAGTTTCGGCTCAGAGCAGAGTTTGGTCTGCATCCCCAGAAAAATGACTTTAAATTGGAAGTCATAACAAAAACCTGCGAATCAGGTTCTGGAATTTGAGCCCCCAAATGGTACGCCAGGGTCTGTGATTATAGCACACATACACGTCTCTGGGAAGAGGGTTCCCAAGACCCTGAAAAAGGTTAAGAGCTACAATGCAAAAGAAAAAAAAGAAAAAATCAAACTGAGGGCAGGTCGCTGTACTGAAAATGTTAAACATGAACTGCTGTAATCCTACTCACTCTCCCCTGAGTGATAATGCACTGCTGAAGTGATCTGTCTACTAAAAGGGAGAAAAAGCCCAACATCCAAGCCTGGAAAAGCCTCAGATGTATGGTTTGGTACCGAAGTGAGCAAACATGACACACAAAGTAACAGCAGTACCGTGTTAACATTCATGTTTACTCTCAATTGTTACTGAAGACTTCTATAAGCAGTGGGAACATCCTGAAACTAGAAAAACAGCTAGACTCAAAATATGATTTTTAAAAAGATAACTCTTGCTTAAATCCATTTTTCTTTGTCATGAATTCTTATGCAAAAACCTTCTCCTCCATAGCCTAGACCCCCTGGTTGTCTCAGCAGTACGTCTCATTCTGGGCTGCCTTGAGGTCCTATTCCATCAGGCACAGAAATCAAATCATCGATTAAGAAATTTTCTGCCAAAGCTCATTCTGATGTATCTTCAATGTGCAATCATATCTTCTGCTGCCTATTTTTACTAACGTTAAGTGACTGTCACATTTTCTTTTACTGAAAAAGAACCACCCTTAGACTAGCCACATTGTGGGGCTCACGGCATTTACTCCACATAAAGCCACGCTTCTCCCGCTGGAATGTGGGTTCCAGGGATGCACAGCGGCAGGTAGGGTCATGGGAGAAATTGGGCTGTTTTCCTACAGTGCCAGTCTGACCTGACAGTAAGTCATTTCACATGATTGTTAAACCACAGCAAACAAACAACTGCACACATTTTTAATATTTAAAAACATGAGATAAAAAACCAATGACAGTAACAACAAAAGCATGAGATATCGAAGCAATCTGAGTTTGTGAAGAGTCACTTGGGTCTAGGCCCTAGTCCTGCAGGAATACTCTTCACTATCCGTGGCCAATAGGAGTTTTTAGTAGGAATGTTAAGAAATACTACCATAAGGTACTGCAGGGACAGGGGAGATGCAACTTAAAACAATTAACACAAAACAACCAAACGGCACGGCCTGAAGGATCAAAACACAAAACAGTAACAGAAATGGAGCATTTCTATGACAAGTACTGCTGTACTGAGGGCCTCACGCAGATCAACTCATTTCGTCCACTCAGCAACCCTGGGAGACAGGTGCTGTATTATCTCATTTTGCAGAAAAGGAAACAGAAGCACAGAGACCTGGCAAAAATGATGCTGTGGGGATTGGAACCCTGGCAGGCCAGCCCCAGAGCCCACCCTCTCCACTACCATGCCGCCCTGGCTCGGGTGGCTTCAACCGTGACCTCCTTGGTGTTTCCTCATGCCACAGGCATCGCAGCCCGGCACTGTGCTGGGGGCTATGATGAACAGCCCAACTTGGGCTGACAGCAGTTACACTGAAAAATGGGTCTTCTACCTAACAGATCAGGAGACAAACACAGAGGGGTAGGGTAAAGCAACAAATGCCAAATTATATTTAATTTAATAGTAAATACATTTATTAGGATTTCAACTCAGGTTTGTCTGACTACAAAGCGCAGGCTCTTTCTGTGCGGCCTCTCTCTTGGGCAGATTATCCCACTGCTGCTTCGACCCTTCCTGAAACCACCCTCAGTCAGAGCTGCCCCGTTCGGGGCACATGGTCCTTCCCCTCCCATCAGTTAAATGCCCCCTTCCTGACTGAACTCTCACCAGCTTATGTGGAGAAATGATGATAGCCCACCACATAAAGTTCATTTTCAAAATGCAATTTCAAGGATCTCGACTCGACTCCTTGGTCCAAGTCTGTGTTTTTAAAGAGTAATCTGAATTTTACACTTAGAGTTTTTCAATCTTTGTTCCCCTTAACAAAGTCAAACATCCTTAACAAGTCAAACATCTCCAAACCTAGTCTTATATCTGTAAGTTTTTAAAAAGAAGTGATGTTTGTTAAATGACAGCAAGCAGAAAAGCACTTTAAAATATATTCTCCTAGCTACAGCAGGCAGCTAAAGCCGGGGGGATCTGGAACTGGCCCACGAAGACTTTCTGACATATGGAGACAGTGACCAGCAACCAATGCCAGTCAGGCCCTAGGCATCCAATCACTAGAAGGGATTGATGGTGATTTCTGGAATCACATAGGTATTTGAGGTGCTCTGTCCTCTATATATAAATACAAAGCAGGAGGTCTCGGCCTTAGCACTATTGACATTTTGGGCTGGACAATTCCTTGTTTGGGGGCTGCCCTGCACATCAAGAGAAGTTCAGCAGCAACTGCAGCCTGGAGGCCAGTGGCATTCCCCCCACCCCCAAACCTAACAATCAAAACTGTCTCCAACTGTTACCAAATACTCTCTCAAGGGCAAATACCCTCTCAACCGCCCAGCTGAGATGCACTGATGTAACACAGAAGAAGCTATTATGTGGTCACAGACATACCTTGCTTTCTCTTCGGTTTGATGCTTTTGACAGTCAAGAAAAGTACAGTTTGATTGCATCTTTAAATCATTTTTAAAATTTATGATTCTGCGTATATATTTTTTTCTTTTTACCTTTTGAACCCTTTCACCCATTTTTAAAATCACAACCATTATTTTCAAATACTCAAGATTGGCTTAATTATGCAAAAAAGCCAACATTTGATTGTCTGATAATTCCACATTTGGATATACCTTGTTTCACATTTATTAATCAAAGTTTCCAATAAAAAGGAAGAATAAATAAATAAAGGAATACTAAAAAGGAATAACGGATAGATTCATTAACGCTTTAAGACTGTGGTTGTTTTTTTAAAAAGGATATTCGGATTCATTATATGTTATCCAAATTGTTCTTGTTAGTCATGTGAGAATTTTATTACTCTTAGAAAAACTTCTGAATTAAAGTTTATTTTTAGAATGTTCTCTAGTTCCTGAGATGTTCACAATAATACTATTTACTACACAGACTGTGGTATAATTCAGTCACCTAAACATCATCTAAAGGGGTTTATTTCAGAGGGTTATTAAGAGACCTGGCATGAGACGGTTCCATCAAAATGAACAGAGTATTTTAGTGACTCACGGTCATTTAAAATCTCATTGAACCTTGAAGCAAAACTGCACTACTTTGTTAATACTGAAATAAACAGACCGGTGAGTGTAATGAAAATCCAAAGATCACGCCAAGCCAGCTGTCGGGAGACTCGGCATCGTTCCAGAACCCTCGACCTGACCACAGAGGCAGTTCCTCTCAGGGTAGGCCGCCAGCCTTCGCCATCTCACAGCCCCGATTTGAGAAACACATTCCTGAAAAGAGCTGGTTTCCAGTTTGTTGCCTAACAATAGGAAATAACAAAGGTTTAGACCTGCTAGGGTCAGCTTCGCTTTTATTAGTCATTGAAGAAACACAATTAAGAACTAGGAATAGGGCTTCCCTGGTGGCGCAGTGGTTGAGAGTCCGCCAGCTGATGCAGGGGACACGGGTTCGTGCCCCGGTCCGGGAAGATACCACATGCCGCGGAGCGGCTGGGCCCGTGAGCCATGGCCACTGAGCCTGCGCGTCCAGAGCCTGTGCTCCACCACGGGGGAGGCCACAACAGTGAGAGGCCCGCGTACCGCAAAAAAAAAAAAAAAAAAAAACTAGGAATAAAAGCACAACCCTTTCAGGTCACGAAGAGCCACGTCACACTTTAGATTGCAGGATTGTAGGTGCAAACTAACCGAATAATCAGAGTTTTGGCCTGGCTCCATCAATATTTTTCAAACCAAGCACACTCAAAATAAATGCTATATACATGTTATATGATAATTCTTAAAGGCTTCCTGAAGTTTAAAGTTTAGAAAAGCAGCGACTTCTACTTGAAGACAAGAGTCATAGTTTTTTATGTATCTGAAGTATTTGATACAGGGGAGGATATAATTTTGAGTGTGACATTCTTGCACAGTAGGCATGCTGTAAGGTTAAATGATGAACACCCAAACATTATTTCCTGTAGCAATGAAAACAGAGCAGAGACAGACCAGCTAAGGAACAACCAAATCAAGCCTAATCCAGGTTATCCAATTACCCAAAGAAAAGGGAAAGGGAGCAGCTCACCTTCCCACTTGCCACCTATTAGGTACAGCAGCCCAGGAGCTGATTCGTGGGCATATGAGAAAGGGGCGAGTCAAGAGGCAGAGACACTCGCCCTTTCTTAGCTCCCAAGGGAACCCTGACACTGGCCCTCAGCTGTCTGAGTGCTGTTCAGCTGGAAAGGAAAGAGAACACTGGCTGAACTGCCAAAACACAGCAAGGAGCAATCAGGTGTAATTCAAATGTTCATGACCTTATAGAGATTTCCATATGACACGTCTACTTAGAACTAATCAAAATTAATATAATACACAGTACACTTTGCAAAACATAAAGAAATCAATTGTCAATATTTTACTACTAATATACGTATGAAGAACCCACAAATGGACTTTCATTTCCTTGGAAAATTTAGACATGGGGCATATCTTTTTGTACTAGATAGATTGTAGAGCTTCTAAAAGTCCATGGTTGTCTTTCGTTTTCAGAAAATGCAGTGACTTTCATAACTTAGGAGCAACCGCTGCTTGTTTTAACACTGGGCACTGAGGAAGTCAGATGTATTCCAATCACATTTCAGTGACATTTCTGTAAAAACAGAAACAATGCACTCGATGCCTTTTACCTTAAAAAGCAAAATGTTTAGGTGGAACATTTAAGCAATCAATTTCCCTCCTTCCCCACCCTGTAACACATCCTTTAAACAGCTCCCAGCTGCTCACCTGGATGACCTTATAGAAGTAGGCGTACTGCCGTGCTGTGTTCTTATACTGGCTGAAGACGTCATGTATGGCCTGTGTGGACTGAAGGTAGCGAACCTCATCCTCTTCGAAGTAGAGAGGGGTGTCGTATTCGCTGGGGAGGGTCTGAATGTAGGGCTGCCAGAAAGAGTTAGGGTCGGCTCGCTCACACAGCAGATGAAAGGCCAGTGTGATGTTTCCCATGGCTTGAAGAATTCGGTCTTGAGAATACAAGGGCCCTGAATTAACCCAGAAGGTAACAGCATCAGTTCCACACACTGCTTTAAAAAGTGTTTATTCAAAATATATATTAAAGTTATAGGAATATCTTGATAGTCATGTAACATTTAAGGTAAGGTGCCCTCTTCTTTTGACATTCTTCTACTATGTCAGATTACAAGTGTGGAAAACACTTCGTGTGGATTTGGGGAAATATTTCACTAGTTGAGAAAACGACCAAATATAGTCCCTAGCGCCACAAAATGAAATTTTATATATTTTTATCATTTTTGCTCTGCCTTGAACAAACAGAAATTATTCTCACCCAGCACTGAATTTTTAGCAGATTCAACAGTCATTAGTAATTTTCGTGGAACCCATAAAAATAATTCTTCTGCCTAGGAGGAAAAAAATAATAGTAGAATCACCAAGACATGTTACAACTGTCAGTTCAGCTACATCTATGGTCAGAAATCCAATCACAATGAAATACAACCTAAGGTTGCCTATAAGCATTTTATTTCTAATTATCAAATACACTTTTAAATGTACACGTTTATGTCACAGTTAAATGAGTAGAAGCATCGTCTCGAATCCTGTTTCCAAAGAAAAACTATATACATTGGGGAAAAAAAAAATCAAAAAAGCAATTCGAAGCAAATATAACAATTTGGGAATAGAGCACAAGGGTGCTTATTTATTCTTTGCTGTACTTAAGTTCTAAAAACAAAACAAAACAAAATTCTACCTCCAACAAAAACCCTAACCTGCCAGTGTGAATTGCTATTGAGTTTCTGAAGCTAGAGTAACATTCCTTCCTCCACATGCTTGACCTTAAAGCACACGGATACCAGCGAAAGCACAAGCCCGTAAGACATACTCTGGTTACTAATTTTTTCCCAAGGCATTATCTCACTACTTTGGCAACATGAGATGCTTCTTTCAGGAAGTCCTGTCTATGTGTCTATACTGCCTAAAGCATGCACATCAACATAGTACCTTGAGTGGGGTGATGGTGTCACGGGTATATGCATATGTCCCAGCTCATCAAAACATATACGTTAAATATGTGTGATTTTGTATATCAATTATGCCTCAATAAAGCTTAAAAAAACATGCACATAGTGAAGACGGACCACCGCTAAGATATTCTGGGCAGCATCCATACTAATGATGCTTCTCATCAGAGATGAGAACAAAGTGTGACAGCTGGTTTACTCTTGCCATTTACCAATGTCTACTATTTATTTTTATGTGTGTCTCATCCCTTACTATATCAGCCTCATGAAGGAAGAGATCCTGGTGTTTTGGGAAGCATGGTATAATAACAAGCAAGGTACTATTCACACACTAGATATTTAACAGGTATCTAATAAACCAGTGTATGGTTTATCAAGGTATCACTGAAAAGTAAACTACGACTTGACCAGAGATGCTGCTGGAAGTTTGAAGGGACCCAAATAAATAACATCCATTTCCTCCACCCAAGTTCTGAACCAACTGAGAGAGACACAAGAATACAACAGATGGTGACACAAAATATCACCTACGGAATCCCAGAATTAGACAGACTCCCCACCTAGTTACAGGCAGGACTGGAGCCCCGACAGGCCTCCCCACGTGTGGCCTGCCCTGTAAAACTCCCAGGGTGGAGAGAGCAGGGGAGAGAACACATATGGCAACCAGCTCCCACGGAGAAAAAGGCCAAGCCCAGATCCTTCTTCCAGAACCATCAGATCGTTACACCTCCTCTCTAGGAGCGGCATGATGAGGGCCAGAGAGAGGCCTAGAGCCCCGCCGGGGGCTGCTGCTCCCTTCATCTGGAAGGAAGGACCGAGAGTGGAGAAGAGCTTTGTCCCTTAGCACATGGATATTTCTCTTCTTCTTTCCCCTCCCCTCTGCTGCTGCTGTCTCCGTAAGTGGTACCTCCAGCCACTCAGTTACCCACTCCAGAAAACCGGTCCGCATCTCGACACTGCCCACCCTCCACCCCACCCACATCCAATCCATCACAGGGCCCTGTGTGCTCTCCCTCCAAACCACCCAAGCTCACATCCTCCTCTTCACTCAAATCTCAAAAGCCCGCAAGACATGTTCTCTGGTCTCCTAACAGAGGTTCGGAGATGTGACCCGACTTGCCCCACTCACTGGCTGATAGCACAGTTCCAAGGAGGACAACCTGGGAGGGGCTGTCTAGAGCCCTGGGCTGAGGCCCCTCAGGACCACGGGGCCAGCCGGGAGACTGCAGGTCAGGGAGAGGGAGGTGGGCTGCACACTGCTGACATGCCCACAGTGTGCTCAGGACAGCCCGAGACGCCTGTCTCCAAGTCCTGGGCCCTCCACGCCACACCACCCAGATGCTCTTAGAGCCCGCCCCCCAGACCAGCAGCTCACCTACAAACTCACCTTGATATCTCTTGTCGCTCTCAAACCGAAGCCCTCTTCTTTGAAGTTCACCATTTCAAAACCCTCAACAGAGGCTCCATTTTCAGAGGCCCATTTCATTAGATCAGGAAAGTAATCTTCTCTTTTTCCATCAAAAGTAACAGACAGACCTATATCAATCCGTGTTTTAGAAAACAAGAGCTACTTTTAGAACATATCAGTCATGTTGCTCTCAGAAAATAAAAAACAGACCACTGGAACTACCTACCTAGAAATAGTAGTAAGACTCCGATCTTGAAAAAAAAAAAATCAAAACTGACCACCAGATGTCACAGTACATACCTTAACTAGTGACAGGAAAGGTGAGTTAAAATCCTGAACGCCCTGCTGGTTACAGAGCAATAGCTGCTGGTCCCAGGTGATATGAATATTGGCGGTCAGGTTCTATTAGGTGCACTAACAGGGATGGGGAAAGCCTTCATGACCACTGCAGGTTCCTAGAGCAACCTGCCATCTCTCATGTGCACACCTGCTTTAACAAAACTCACACGAAAACAAAAATCAGTAGCTCACATACATACATGCACAAGGAGACGTCTGTAAGGAGGAGCCCTAGACCCTGATTCTAAGAGCACAAAACTGGAACGCTCTGAATTTCGTCCAGCAACTTAAATGAGCAGCATCTATATGTATCACTGTAAGCGAAACACAAAACTTAACACTGGTTTTCTGAAAGTCCAGTAGTATGATACCATTTACGTAAATTGTTAAAATACCAATTACTACCATCTATTTGTATGGGGTTATATATGAAGCAGAAACACATTCACTGTAAAGACAACGCCCCCCGAGGGGGAGGGGAGGGGAGAGGAGGGAGTGGGATGGAAGTGTGGGGCTTCAGCTGTGCCTGAAACGCCTAATTTCTTAAAAACAAATATAAGAACCAATCAAAGCACGGAGGGAGGAGAAGAGATCGGACCAGTAGCTGAGAAGGAAGGAAAGAAGAACTTGAACCCACAAGACTCTGGCATGTATCCAATTGAGATAGTAGCTGCTTAGGTGTTATTTTCGGCACTTTTCAGCACGTTTGAAATATCAAAAAAGATGAAAAGCCATGCATAGGAAAAATCATTATTTTTCTGAGGAATAAAGAGAGAGGAACAGGAACTTCGACCACATGAGGTGCTGGGCACAGAACCCAGCCCAGGGCCTGTGGCCATGTCCCCAAGATACAATTCATGGTTAACTAGATCTGTGAAGCAGGACTGCCTGGCCTGACGCCGTGCCAGGCTAGGTCTGCAAAGGTACCTGCTAAATGGAGAAAACTGATTTTGTTAGGGATACTCTAAAACAGAATTTACTCTTCCCTTATTGAGAACTAGTGAATGCTCTAACTTCAGTGCCAGTTATAGTAAATGGTCTCTACTCAGCACAGAAACTCAGGATATAAAAAAACTTTTCAGCAACCAATTTGGTGAGCCAGGATTAGCACAGTCTACCATTTAATGCAAATTAACACATTATAAAAGAACCCGTCCCCATTGAGGGTTTGAGACTATCTAACCTAAAGACTGCATGTTTGCAGATGTGCATGGGAGAGCGGTAAAACTACTCCCTAAGAGGGCAAATACAAAACAAACCGTCTTCCCACTAACTTTCATGGCAATAAATAAAAGGGGAGTCAAAGAAGTTCTCTCATCCTTCTGAACGCAGGCTCCTTATTATGCTTTCTCCTTCTACCTTCCGTGTGGCCTGCATACAAATCTACTTTTTGTGCTTTACAGCACAAAAACAATAGGTATATTGAATACGCTTTTCCGAATTGACACTTGGCCCCATTGCCAGCCTGACTGGGAATCATTAAGATGCCTACTGAATACACCCTGGAAAAACACAGCTTGAGAAATATAACTACATCTCTTATTAAATCAAGACATATTTGAGCTCATTGTAAATCTTGACAAGACACTAACCAATCCGTATATATTTGTGTGTTGACCACACAACACCATGTACTGGCCTCAAACCCTAAAGGAAACACAGGATGCAAAAACAAATTTAAATATGTATTTCATAAAATAAAAATAAATGAAAGTTATACCATCTTAGTCCCCAGATAGAAAAACTGTCCCCGCTGAAGCTCAACATTTTTATCCCTTCCAAAGCAGCAAAGGCACCTCAAACATGGGGAAAATCCTGATGGATTCCCAATGCAGTTTCCCTCCCAATATCTAGGAGCCCTTCTACAACCACCACCCAGACAGGCATGGAGGCCTGAGGGTTGATGCCGAGACCTTCATTCTCAAAGCCTCTCTGCTTATGCCAGGTTCCACAGGATATTATTAAAATGTGATGATCATTTGAGGAAATTTACCTTTTTGTTTTTTTCGTATTTTCTCAACTAGAGACCGGATCTGCACATACTCTTCCCATTCTTTTCCTGGGCCAGGGGCAGGACTACTGCATTCTGTAACACAAAAACCATGGCACCGAAACATTTCTTTCAGCTTAACCTGTTAGTCTTCAGAAGAAAGAGGATCTGGGTTTTGTTGTTGCTGTTGGTTTCTTTTTAAAGAACAAAGGTATATAGCCGTGATGACAGAGATGAGAAGTATAAACCAGGTATACTTTTTTTTAATTAATTAATTAATTAATATTTGTTTTTTGGCTGCGTTGGGTCTTCGTTGCTGCACGCGGGCTTTCTCTAGTCGCGGCGAGCGGGGGCTCCTCTTCGTTGCGGTGCGCGGGCTTCTCATTGTGGTGGCTTCTCTTGTTGCGGAGCACGGGCTCTAGGCAAGCAGGCTTCCGTAGTTGAAGCATGCAGGCTCAGCAGTTGTGGCTCGCGGACTTAGCTGCTCCGCGGCATGTGGGATCTTCCCGGACCAGGGCTCGAACCCGTGTCCCCTGCATCGGCAGGTGGATTCTTCACCACTGTGCCACCAGGGAAGCCCATAAACCAGGTGTACTTTTTAAAGCACGTAAACCCTCTGAAACCACCCAGGCCACATATTACACTGTGACCACAGGACACAGGTGTGAGCACCTAACTTGCATCTACCCCATTCTTGCTGCTCTGATCAATTTTCCTCAGAATACTCATAACAGGAAAATCTAAAAAGCTAAGCTAAAATGCAAAACATTTTCCTGAAAACTCTTGTGGATGGTGAAAAGAAGGTATATTAAGAGTCAACATTTTTTTCTAGTTAAACTCCATAACAATGATTCCCTAAGGGAACCAGTTAAATTGGACATAAGGATAATTAGTCAACAAACATTTCACATCCTTGTGTAAGGCTCTATAATAAGCACTCTGGGGGAGTTACAAAAAGAGATGGCACAGTTGCCGCTAAAAAAGAAGCTAAGATTCTGTCAGGCCAAAACCGAAAGACCTACCCGCCAAGACCGGAGCCATGGCAGTGGAAGGCCGCACCCCGGGCACCCGGCCTGTCAGCGGCCCTGACCTTTTAAGACAGTATCAGTTTAAAGAGAGAGACCCCGACCACATTCCTGATAAACCTCCTGGCCCCCTTTGTTCCCCACAGAGAAGACTAGATGTGGTAAATAATCAACAGGGGTTGTGGGGGTAGGAACTGGGAGATGGGGACTGACACATACACACCATTGATACCATGTATAAAATAGACCACTAATGAGAACCTGCTGTATAGCTCAGGGAACTCTACTCAATGCTCTGTGGTGACCTAAATGGGAAGGAAATCCAAAAAGAGGGGATATATGTATATGTATAGCTGATTCATTTTGCTGTACAGTAGAAACTAACACAACATTGTAAAGCAGCTATACTCCAATAAAAATTAATTTAAAAATTAATAATAATTAACAATAACTAGTTATGCATTGACTCATAACTTAGGTTAACCCGTCTTACTTCACTCTTCCATCAACAAACACTGACTGAGGCCCCAGAATACAGGAGCCTGTCCTGAGGCCGCCTGTAGTCCAGCAGGAGAGACAGGTGGGGGCGGGCAGGTACAGCCGTGCTCTGTGGGAGCCCACACTGACCTTCTGGGGGGCTCCCCACAGGGGGGATGGGAGAACTCAGGGAGGGACCTGACCCCGACTCAGTTGCTGCCTGCCTGCCTGCCTGTGTCAGGGAAAGAAAGCGCAATTTTTATTTGGGGGTTAGCCTCTCACATAATCTAAAATAAGGGGCCAAGAAAATGAGACAAACGTAGTTAGTTAATCGAGTGACCACAGCTAAATCTGAAACATACAGAGCACCAACTTAAATTCCAATTTAAAGAAAGAAGGCACCAGCTTACACTAACTTGCTAAGGCAAGTATCGGCACTTAACAGATACTTAATTTCCTCGAGCAAGAACGGAGAACCTCCATACGTGAAACTGGAAAACTATTACGAATCACTGAAAGTAAAGGGAAGGGAGCCCAGTTCCTACGTTTGCTCTCTGAGCGGCACGCTGCGCTCACCTCTGGCTTCACGGCCCAATGACCTTCAACCTTCACGTGCCGTAGCTCACATGGGGCTCGAGACACTCTATTTACTGATGCAAACACTGCGACTCAGCAGGGTTAAGGAACTGGTCCAAGGCCACACTGTTAAAAAGCAGTGGAGTTTGGCCTGGCCCACCGGTGCAGGCGGGGGGGTGGTTATCTACATTCATTCGTTCTGTCGTCCAAGCCTCCTTTAACCATAGTTACAGTTGGTACCATACCTGTTAGGTAAAAGTTACCTGTTGGAACCTGTTGGTACCGTACCTCCATTTTTACAGGCAGGGAAGCTGCAGGCTGGGGAAGATCTGTAATGTGCCAGGCCCCATGGCTAAACAAGCTGCGATCTGAACACAAGCTTGTTTCACCTCCTGCTCCCCAGACCAGGGACCCCCACGCGGTGCATGGGTGTGAGGAGAGAGACACACGTGTCCCACACAGAGGCGGGAAGGCCGAGCCGAGACTTACTCTGCAACAGCTCACTGGTTAGGTTCAAGGTTTCCTTCGGGGACACGCTTGCCGTAGCACCAGTGCCTGATTTCTGCGTTTTTACTCGACTCTTCTTACCCATTTTCTGACTACGGAGAAGAAAAAGAAAAAACAAAGAGAAAAGCAATACATTTCCAAAGAACAAAACTGAGTAATAAAACGTGGCACAGCAGTGGCTCGGCCTTGAGACATTAAGATCTTACCTCAAAGGTGCCATATCCTGAAGTTTCCCTCCAGAAAAAGCAACGTGTAACTAATACTAGTATTTGGAGGCACTCAAATGTGAAAAAAAAGCTGCTTTGTAGTCTCTGGAAGAAAAGTTCGTTCCTTTTCACCTACAAAAACTACAGTAGAAGCAAGTTTTACTCTAGAATTTTTTTCAAATTACATAGACTTCATTGTATATCCTAGTATTCTGTGATACTACATAGATAGAAGTTACATCTACATTCATGTATCACAAACTATCACATGGCCACAAAAACCTATATATTCTCTCCTCCCTCTGCTTTAAACGAATAATTTCCCATAAAGAGTAACTATATCATAAGCAACAGATTAGACCCTCTAGACACATGCTGAAGACATTTTAGAGATCAAAGAAACTTCAGAGAGCTAATTCAATTCCTTAATCTTGCTTCAAGGAAAATCCAAAGTACCTTGCCCAGGGTTTCACAGGAAGTCGATGGCAGACCCTACCCTCGAAAGAGGTCTCCACTGCCTCCCAGCCTGGCACTTCAACCACCCTGGAGCCCTCAATGGTCTAACAAATAAGAAATGGCCAGGATATGCCACAAGCAGACAAGACAGTGGGACAGGGGATGCACCGATAGATGTCGGGCAGAGATGTTTATAACATCTGTCTGAAAACATTTTATAGCAGTGAGTCAGGAGATGTGTCTTGAAGAAAGAAAGGGACTGGGATGTATGAAGAAAGGGTGGGCAACTCAAAGGCAGGGCAGGAATGAGGGAAGCACATGGCAGGGCAGGGGGCACAGCACCCCAGGTGGAGAGGTCTCTGTGGGGAGCGGTGGGAAAGAGGACCCCAGCTGCAGGAGGGCTGCAACTGTTGTCTGAGGACTTTGATCTGAGCATTCCTCCTAAGACAGAAGCGCCTGAGGATGACAACCCAAGAAGACGGAGAGAGATCCCCCCAGAGAAGCCACTGGAGCCACCCACACTAATGAATACCACACACCACGATGATGCTCCATGGACCCCTCGCCAACAAGCTACAATTAATCTCAAGGGAGAACCAAAAGGCGAACTCTGACCTACTTGTTTTTTACAAAGAGAAATGACTATTGTAGTGTGGAGAGCTGTGATGGGACAAAAGGTTGAAAATGCATATTCTCCTGCAGCCTAGCTGATCACTGATTCCACTGCAATGACTCCATGCAAATACAGGCCATGCTAAAACAACAGAAAATAGCATTCTATTAAAGGGCTATCTTATGTAGCTTCTCTGATGCGTCTGATGCATGAAGTATACTTTGTAACTTACGTATCTAAAAAGCCTTCTAAAACACAAGAGTGGAACACATAGTGCCAGGCACCCTGGAACAAAAGTGAACAGATAACAATACCTAAAACTTCGGCAGCAAAGAGAATTAGTTATTTTGAGATCAAAAGCAGAAGGAAAAAAAAAGTGTGGGGTGGGGGGAGCAGGCGGGGGAATGGTTTAAGCACCTTTCCTTAAGCTCAAGGACTAAACGAGAAGGAAGCTCCCGGGTTTACTAGCTCACGGCTGAGAGCCCTGGACAGAGCACCTGCCGCTCTTCTTTGCACCAGGCCCTCTCCACATCTACCAACGGCATCTCTGCGGAGGACCACTGAACTTGACCTGAAAACAACTAAGACTACCAGTAAGCCTGGAAAGTAGGGCTTTAATCACACTTCCAAATATAGCTTGGCAGGAAGAACTGTGAAGCCCGCTGTCAGAGATGGGCTTGCCGGCCTCTCCCTGCCAGCGTGACCTTCTGTGTGTTAGGCGTCAACTCAAAAACATCACTCAGATAGTAACTCCAAGACCCTTCCCTCCTCTTAGCAGGCCTGGGGCACAGTGAACCCAAGGCAGCCGCGCCCCGCCTACACCAGTCTCCCCAGCACGAAGACCCAAGGGCTACAAAACAGGCTTCTTCACTCTGCCTGCAGCCCCTTTCCCCTCCCCACCCCAAGTCTTCCCTCAGGAATCCCTCCAACTCCCATCACTCTCTGGCATCTAGATACCTGTCCTGAAATAACAATCGTTAATTAAAGCAGCAGCAGTAGTGACCCTGTGTGCAGTCCTTAACCTCTGCCAGGCACTGGGCTAAGATCATCTCTTCATTTGATCTTCCCAGACACTCTAATCAGTAGGTATTAGCCTCATCTTTTAGATGACATTCTCAAAAAGGTGAAGTCCTCCATCTTTGCCCAAGGTTAGAGGTGCAGTTAGAACTCAGGTCTGCCTGACTCTAAAGCCTGTGCTCGGCCACTGCCCCACTGCTTCTGTGACATGCAGAGCAAAAGCACAGGGCTCCGCAGGGAGCAGGAGGGCGGACACGTCTTCCAGACCCGACACCGACAACATCCGGCCAAGTGGTAACACCCCTGAGTATCTCAGGCCACCTGCTCGTCTTGAATTCATCTCTTGCTTAGACTATAAGTGTCCTGCGTTCTCCCTGCCCAAGCCCACCCCTGCCACTTAAATCTGCCCCCACTGAGTAACAGGTACCAATATACAACATAGGTGAAACTTCAAAACACATCAGGAAATTAGCACCTGGGAGAGCAGCTGTCCTTGAACTTCATACACATGAAATTATACAACATGTAGGCTTCTTTTGCTCAACGCAAGGTCTTTCCATGGCTCTAAGGTGACACCTAACCTCCCCAGCACAGCCCTCAGGGCCCTTTACTGCTTCACCCCATTTTTCTTGCCTGGCTTTATTCTTCCCATCACCGCTTACACAACACAGCTCTAGGATTTGCTCTTGTTCTCACCTTTTCCTGAAATAAAGCTACCCTCTGCTAACCCTGTCTCCTCCTGGCAAAATTTTTCACATACTCAGTCAAAATGTCCCCCATGGCCTTGAGGAAATTCCGGGCTCCTCCATGCAGCCCTCACTTCCATGCAAATCTGTAAGAACGGGTCAAGTTCGAGGTGATTAACAGATGCTAAAGGCTTGGCTTACCTTGAGATCAGTCTTTTGGAATTCTCTTTGGACTGTTTCCCTCCCACAGGGATATAAGCCCTAAAGAGAGAAAGCAGCCTGCCCAGGTTAGACAGTAAGAATCTCCCAGTAGGCATTAACTCGCTTCTCAATTAAGGAGGGGTAGGGAGATGGCTGTCCTTCTCCCCAGGGGATGTACCTCCCTGGGGTACAAGACCCTAGGTCCAGACCAGCTCTTAATCTGTTCTACCTAGAAACCAGGTTGACAGTGACCTCACCCAGGAAAGCCTCCAGTCACTTGGACCCACTCTGTCCCGGAGCTCCTAATTACTCAGCCCCCGGCGCACTGAATCAGAGGCATGTCCTCAAGTGTGTACTTGAAGAACTAACATTTCTGGAGGGCGGGGGTTCTCTGTACCCAGTTCTATGGCCCAGCAGCCGTTTTTCTGAACTTTACAGACGTCAATGTCTATAAGATTCATTTGCCTCTGGATTCGATATGGTTTGGCACCAATTCTTCTCGCATTTGTGTGACCAATGTACCACCTAAAAGTACCTCAAAGGCGGTAGCCCCGCATTTACTTCTTTTCACCCCACAAAGCATTAGGCCCTCCTGCCACCCTCTGCCAGCTCCCTCAGCCCCTCGGCCCCATGCCATCCTCTGATCCACACGCTCCCTCTTCTCTGCGGCCTACGTGCCTTCAGCCCTTGGTGACGGTGTCTGAGTCTTGACTCAAACCCCAGCTCACCGACGGCCCCCTCCCCACTCCACACCCTGCAGAGCTCAGCCCTGGAGCCCCCACGGCCTCACGCGCTGTAGCTGACATCATTTATGTGCCTACCTCACCCACTGGTGTGGCTTTCTGTCTTGTGGCAGAAAAAACCCAAAGCTTCCATTTCTAGATTATCTGTAGGGTCTAGTATGGTGCCACGGACACAGCTGAGGGTCAAGTATTTGTTGAATGAAGGAAAATCTTATCTGAATTTACTAGTGTTACTTATGGGTAAGATTTATTTCCCATCACAATAGTAAGATTATACAGCAAGGAACCATTTTGATATATTCTCCCACCAGTGACAGAACAGTAGCCAAAATGAGACATTTACTTAATACTTAACTACTACTTCTAAGAACTAGGATGACTCTTAAAAGTCAAAACATAAATTTATACATATAAAATTCACATTTAAAAAATAGTTTCCTTTGGGAAACCGTAGTTTGTTGTTAGAAAAGCTTTAAGGTATTAAAGTTCATAAAAGAATCTCTCCAATAAACACAAACTGAATTTTTAAAGTGTTTTTGGTCTCTTAGAAAACAACCAAGCAGGAATAAGTCCATTTCCAATAGAAATGGAAGAGCTGCTACTCAAGCACAACTTCAAGCTCCAGGGGCACTTGTGACTGGGGGCACGAGCATCTGTACGGCTCTCTGCACTGGCCAGACACGTTCCCGCCACAGCCTGCAGAGGCCAGTGGTGACCACTGGCCTGGCAGGGTGCTCAGGCATGGCTATGACTTGGCCAAGAGCCCACAGCCAACAAGCAGCGGACCTACAGCTTCAACCTGAAACCCTGTGTTACATCCAGCACATTTGCAACTAAACAAGGTCTCCTACATCCACATGCCAGGACCACACCAGCTGCTGCAGAAGATGACCACAGCCAGATGAGGGACAGCCAGCCCTGCGGGCCACAAGGGTGAGGAGATGAGGACCCTGGACTCAGCCTGGATAACTCCTAAAATGTGCGGGCAAAGTAACCAAACAGAGAGGGCTAAGGAATAAAGTACAGGTAAAGAAGAAGGACTAGATGTTCAGATTCAGTCTGAGAAAGTGTTAGAATCCAGGCTGAGTGGTTTCCTAAACTCAACCCCCTTCTGCCTTGTTTAGCTAACAAAGATTTCCTCAACTTCACGGATTTAAAATAACTACCTACCCTGTTCATTTATGATTCAAAAACTTGTTACATACAATGAATAATTTTCATTGTGAGTTCAGCTGAATCCGGGGCTAGATTCCAAGTTTCAACAAATGAAAGAGCCAAATAGGTATCCTGAATATTCTTAGTGCTCTCAGTGGAAAAACAGTACCTATTAGTTTAATTCATCAATTTCCTACAAAGACCAAATATTTCTCTTCAATATTTATTTCAAATATGTATATTAGAAAAATACAAAGATGTGCTAAATTAGATATGTGTATGCACACACAAAGTTAAATGCCAAATTTTAGCCGAAGGTACAATGCTAAATGAAAGATTTTTTCCCCCAAAGTTTAGATCGAAAGCAGGTATAATTTCCAAATTCTTAATGAATTATCTGGGGAAAACAAATATACAGTAAAAAAGGACTTAAACAATACTTAAGACAAAAGAAAATAATATGCAGAAAAGCAATAGGATTGACAGGCAAAAGGATTCTACAGTAAACAATTACAGTGACAGTCCTTCAAAGGAAGGGGCATCTATAAAAAGAAACAGCAAGCTAAGAGTTCCACACATATCTACATTGCTTCACCATCAAGATATTTTAAAAATCTACAAAATCCTCAAAATCTGGCTCTTTATAACACCATAAACTATTTAGCAAGTCCATCAACAATCTCTCCACCTAAGAGATACAACAAACTTTAGAAAACAGTAAAATAGATGGCATATTCAATTATTATTTAAATTGCTGACTAATATGCAAGTGTCATCTGTAATCAACAACCACTTCTGACCAGTGAAGTGATTCTTTCACACATAATCTGCCTAAGTGAGGAGAAATAAGAACACAGTGCATTTAAGGAACTTGGCTGATGGCGTGGTGGGCGTGGTGAGGGGGATACTTAACCCATTTTTACAAAGTATACTTCACACCTACTGAACAGACCGAGATGGAATTCAGCTGTGTGGGGTTTTTTTTCTTTCCCCCAAAATTCTAAACGGAATGAATGTATATTTGCGATATTCTTGAGTTGCTTTCAACTAAATACAACTAGAATAAACATTTTTGATTATACTTATTTGGTAATTTGGTAAACCAGAAAACCTTAGCTCAAACCCAGCATCTGTTTCTCAATGTATGCTGCATCTTCCCAACTTTACAGCTGGTTTGACTAAGGGAGAGAATGGTCCTAGGGCTTCCTCCCACCTCAGGCTCCCAGCTGTAAACGGACTTGAAGGGAGTGTGAAGCCTGCCTAATCTTTTGGAGGAAGAAAAGAATCTCACTAAAATACTTCACAGGCCATTAGGATCAGATTACTACATACTGAATTAAATACACAGACTACAGGATGATGGCCTAGGAAAATGAAAGCACTCCCAAATTGAAAAGCATTTAACTGTGCTAAGCTCTCTCTCCTCCAAAAACTGATGAAGCATACATGGTCCTTGCGTTGGTACCATGTTAACTGAAATACTGGAAACACCTCTCTTTGCACAGTAGCAGGATCTAGTAACAGGGTCAAGCCTTACTAACTTATACAGGTTCAAGTGGCTAACTAGCACTCATCATTCCAATCTCTATCAAAGGAGACACTGATGTGTCACAGCTCAAAAGTACCAAGAAGTCAGGGCAAGCAGACAGGCGAGATGATGGAATTAATTTCAACTCAGTAGCTACATACATACCAAGATGAATGTAGACCTATAAGCTGCATGTAATTAAAATTTCAATCTTTATACAGAACAATCTGGGCTGTCATATATACATATATAGATAGATACGTAGATAGATACAGATATACACAAACTTGAGATTTAAACTTGCTCTCTACAATGTTTTTGCTATATTTCCACTAATACACATGATAATTTTAGAGACACTTAAACCATCTTTGATTGACTTTTCAATACATAATAGTCTTAGTTTTAAACTGCTATTGAATTAAGTTGTAAATACACTTAAAATGAGGCTCCTATTTAAAGGAAGTTGCAAAACAAACTCTTCATAAAGCAAAGAATCATTCAGTTATCATGAAT